GGCGGGGATCGGGCGGGACTTGGACGGGACTCGGGCGGGACGCTGCGACCCGCACAGCGCGTTCGCAGACTCGCTCTACGCGACCTTAGCCCGTCAGCGGGTCGGCGGCGGGGGGCGGGGCTGCGCGGCAAGAACGCGCCTTCTGATTGGCTGTCGAGGGCGGGACTCATTCAGGTAACACGCCCTCTGATTGGTCCTAGAGCTTGGCTCGCGCCACTGCGCATGCTCCGTTGCTGCAGAAGACTGCGGATGCGACTTGGATGACTGGAGGAGCTGCGTTTCGGCCTCTGCGGTGCCTCGGGCTAGTTCAGTGTCCGGAGGGTGCTCCCTGCGGGGCCGCGTGCGCCGGCCGAATCCCGACGGCGTGTAGGCGCAGGACAGCTCGGCACTGCAGGTTGTGGGAGCCGCAGCCCATCCTGTGGTTGAGGCCGGGCTTCGGGTCTGAGCACGTGAGAGGACCCGGCGTCCAGTGCCCTAGGAGCGCCCGGGTCTGCACGCGGAGAGGACTCTGTCCTGTGCTCTAGGGTGTTGCAGAATGAGGTCTGGTCTGCCTTTCGCAGCCGTGATTGCTAATTACAGGTCTCGCGGAGCAGGCCCTTTCCAGGCCTTCTCCCTCCCAGACCTCGTTAAACTGTCTTGCTTCACTTAGCAGGCCTGCTCTGCAACTTGTTCCTCTTGTGTTTTTCTTGATAGCCTAGTTTTTGTTGTGGGCTCTTAATATGGAATAAAAGTGCTTGTCTATACATGTAGGATCCATAAATTCTGTCCCCACCAAAAACTAGAAAGGTTAGGTGTCTAAAAAACGTCCAGAGGCCTGAATCTTCCCTAACTAGTCGAGACCAGATAACCCCATAGAAGAATGCGTGCAACGATCAAGCTGGTCAGTGTGCACATTTGGCGTGTGTAAAGTGAACATATGGGGTGGGTGTTTGTGCAAATGTCCACTTCTGAGTGCGGTTCACTGGCTCTCGTTTTTTCTCCCTGTCGGTCCAGATCACCTAGTCCAGCTACCTTGTGTCTCTGCTTCCTGGTCGTGGCCTTTCCATCATCCCTTGCACCTGCGTCCTTTTCCACCACTGCTTAGAAGACTTCTTGAGGCCACCTATCCTGAGTACATTGCCAGAAACAGACATCTTAGTGTCTTTCTGTGATGTCAGAGTTCATTGACTAACAGTTTACAAGGTACAGCAGTTTCAGTGGCAGGAATTGGCCAGATACTTTTCTGGGTGGCCCTGATCAAGGCAAACACAAGTTTTAGTATTAACTCTAAAACCACACATTACACATGACCCAGTAACACACACACACACACAGGTTACATAGTGACCACCGAAGGTTAAAGAGGCCTGAGAAGCGGAAGCTGGGTCACTGATAGGGATGCAAGAGTTGATAAGCAGCGAACCCAGGCTTGTGCAGGGAAGGAGCTGCTGTTAGGGTCAGGCTACTGCGGGTCACACACTCAGAGAGAAGCTGCTGAGTCCATATGCAGAGGTGGAAGGGCAGGACAGGGTCTAGACAGGAATGGATAGCAGGTCCAGACTGGTGAATAGGTGTACAGGCAGACAGCAGTTGATTAGGTCACCTTGAGTCAAGCCAGAGGCCTGGGGAAAGTCAAGGGCTCACTGCCTGCTGGTTCTTGATACACACCAGATAGATGATAGGTTTTGGGGGAGGGGGTATTGTCGCCTTAACAATGTTGGGTGCCAGCCTCTGTCTGGGGTTCAGGTGACGGAAATGCACTCTTTTCTTGGGTCTAGTTTCCTTGATACAATTTTCATAGACCCTTGTACCCTACAATCTCTGTTCACCTCAAAAAATGTATAGGATGCCTGCCTTTCTATTCCTAGGAATAAGTCACTTAGTCTTCTGTAGTGTGGAGAGCACAAGGCAGATGATACTGTTCACAAGTCCACCCAGGTGCACAGTTACCTTCAGAATGGTGTCAAAAGCTGCTGGTAAAATGGGGTCTCTCAGTGCAAGGCACAGTCTGAAACCCACTGTTTTATACAATATGGAGTAGCCCAGAGCAAGGCGCAGCCTGAGCACTCCACCCTCTGATTCTTGACAGCAGGAACCCAGTGGCTCCCCAGGAAAAGGAGCCCCTCATTGCCTTTTGTGCAAGATGTAACAGAGGGTGATAAGTGCATATTCTTAAGCAAATGGGGGAGGATTTAGGTATTTTGACCTGTGACCTTTATACATATTTTTTGTTCCTATATTTACCTGGTTGTTATCTTTAGTTGTTTATAAATCTTTTTTGTGGGGCTGGAGAGATGGCTCAGCAGTTAAGAGCGCTGACTGCTCTTACAGAAGACCCAGGTTCAATTCCTGGCACATGGTGGCACACAGCTGCCTATGACTCCGGTTCCGGGGGATCCAACACTCTTCTGATTCCTGTGGGCATTCCATGACACAGGTGTGCTTACCTACATGCAGGCTATATACTCATACACATAAAATGCATATAAATATTTTTTAAAATAAATAAATCATTTGTGTGTGTATGTGTGTGTGTGATATGCTGGTACGTGTGAGACCCTGATGTTAAAAACTTTCTTAGTATTGGTGTGACCATGGGTGTTATTTATTTTGTAATCACCCTGTGTCTTTGTGTGACCTAAGGGCTGTGCCAGTTACAATGCCCATGCATCTGTGGATACAGACATTTTTTGCTGTCAGTTACAGATTGTCTGACTTCACTGACCACTGCTGTGCGGTCAACATGTTGTGCAGATAGTGCAGGACTTGCTCGGCAAGGCCCATGAGGACCTGGAGTTTCAGGGCTGCTGCTTTCCATCCTGTTTTATCCTTGGTCCACAGAGGCTGATCTGTGTGTAAACAGGTGTTATGCGGACTACGTCACCAGGCAGGACCCCAGTTCCCTATATTGCTGTGGGTATGTCCGCTCTCACAGTCTTCTCTAGCATGTCTGTCTCCTCCACCTTGTACACCTCCTCTGAGGAGCCCTGGTTGGTCTTAAAATCAGTGCCCTGCTTTTTATGTACATTTCCAGGTAACAAGCTTCTCATCAACTGCCTGACAGCTTTTTGGGACTGGACTTTATATACCTGATTGTAATAAGTGTGTCACCAGAGGCTCCATGTCTATCAATGCCTCCTAAGTCAGCAAAACATTTTTTTTTTCTTCCAGGAGCAAGCATGAGCTTACACAACAACTTAAAACATCTAAATTAAAACCCATTAGAACCCATCACAAGAGAATCTGCCTGGCTTACTGGGCTCCTCAGGTTTTTCCTCTGGCCTCCAAGGCTTGATTAGAGAGTGATGAACCCAGGCTCTACCTTCAGGCACATCATGGCTGTTGGGGTGCTCAGAATCACAGTGTGAGCTCTCACCCAAGTGGATTCTGAATCCTGGAACATGGACCTGTTCTCACAGGAGCTTTTTGAGTGTCCCTTTTGCGTCACATTCTTACCACAAAAATTGTGGTTCCCACTTTTGGGTTCTTAGTCTCATCAGAATTTTAAAATGGACTCAAAAGGAAGCCAGAGAACAATTTTATCAGCAATTAAAGAGAAAAAGCTAACAGGGCAGGCAAGCTGTAAACCTCTGCAGCTGCCAGAAGGGAGCTGGAGAAGAGGAAGAGACAGCTGCCTTGTTTTGGTGAGCTCTGTAAGCAGCCACATGGCAGAGGGGTGCTTCAGAGAACAGACAGGAAGTTCAGAGTACCAGGGAGTGTGCCCAGGCTTTGACTACTATACTAAAGAGCAAAGGTAGAGAGCAGGAAAGGGAAATACCACACTTCTCTAACTCAGAAAATGGGCAGGCACAGTGCTGCCTGGTGGATGCTCTGCAGTCCACTGCCCCAGTTATTTTTAAAGTATATTTACTAGACACACGTAGGAATTTAGTTGTCCAGAATCCTACAGAAATAAAATTGTGTTGTGTGGGCCTCTTGGTCCATAATTACCAGGTGTCAGAATCCAGTCCCATCATGACTTTAACCTTAATCAAGCATAAGATATTGGGTAATGTAGCTTTAAAAAGATTGAGGGGCTGGAGAGATGGCTTCAGCGGTTAAGAGCACCAGCTGTTACTGCAGAAGACCTGGGTTTGAATTCCAGCACCCAGATGGGAGCTAACAGCTGTTCATAATTCCAGTTCCAGGAGCTCCTACAACCTCTTCTGTACTCCCCAGGCGTTACACGACACAGGTGCACTTACTTGCATGCAGGCAATACACATACACATAAAATAAGATTATTTATGTAGTGTCTGGGCATGTGTGTGTGGTGCCAGAAGAGGGTGTCAGGTGCCCCAGATTGGAAGGTACAGGTGCTTGTGAGCTGCTCTCTGTGGGTGCTGGAAACTGAACTCCAGTCCTCTGAAAGCATCAAGTGCCCTTAACCCCAGCCATGGCTCCAGTCCTAGTCTTTATTTTTAGTGCCCGTTCCTGCTCCTCACCCCATGTGAACTCCTGTGACTTTCTTGTAACTCAATATATGAACCTTAAAATCATGTTCACATAAGGTACTTGTGCCCAGTACCCACATATCCTCTTAGCCATGGAACTTCTGTTTGGATGTAGGTGTCTCTAATGACACAATTCTCTGTCACTGCCCTGGGCCTGCCATCTAGTGACCATTTAACAAAGAATTTACAAGTGGTTTCTTGTTCTGTTTTCTCCTTGTTAAATGTCTACCCATTTCTAAGTCTCTCTGCTGTTCCATTTTTATTTCTAATTCT